AGGAAGTCAAATCCTCATTTACGTGGTTTAAACCTTCTTCTTCCTTTTTCTTACCACTTGGGGGGAAGTGGAAACATTTAATGACACAACATCAACATTTAATCACCTTATAAGTTGATAAGGAGAAAGTGTTAGCCAAGAGTTGCTTATTTTCACATTCAGCAACATTAGCATTCATTTGGAGTCATGTTTCTGTCCACCTGGCAAATGTAAGTCTAATATTATTAACCAGATCAAATATTTCTAATACCTCCTCCTTGAGTGTGTTGTTAGAGAAAGAATGTCTTACCATTTTAATCAAGCCAGTCTGATTCTAAAAACTTTTCCCTGAATATCTAGTTAATCTCCTCAAGAGCGCTCCATGCAAGTCAACGCCATTTCTTTTTTCTTCCCATTCCTCTCTTCCTCCTAAAATGGCACGACAACACACCCAGTGGTGTTAAGAGCAATGAATTCAGGTTATTTTCCCATTAAAAAAAAACAAACCAGAGCCAGCACAGTTGAGGCCACACATGATGCCCACACATATTTTGTCTAACCACAGAGCGTTGCCAACGCTGGGTGACGTAAACATAAGTAGAGCAGCTGTTCCAGAAGAATGTCAAGGAAGTGGAGGCCATGTTCAAGCGCCACAACATGTGCTTTTACACCGAACGCAGACAAAGGAGCGTGGGAGACGTGTCGCTATCAGTATAGGGCTGTTGGCGTGCATTTAAGACTTCTGCAGGAGACACATAAAACATTCACAAATCCCAAACAACATCTGGGAGTGAACACATGAAAACAGCCCCCAGCATGCCTGTGAGGTCCTGGTAATAACGGTGTTAGAACGACAACATCCGACTCTTCTGTCAACCAATCGTGTCAGTGCATGCAACGTGGATACACACTCCTGTCAGCATCAGTCAAAAAAATCACTGACTTTACATACAGGCGTCAGCAAAGCTCCGGACTTCCCATATTCTCTTTCTCTTTCTCACACACACACAATTAGCCCATGAGCACTTCCACCTAGTCGTCAAACTCTCTCAAACAATGGCCAATCCAAACAAAAAAAGCGCCTCATAAACATCCCCCCCCAGCATGCACCTCCTGGTTAGGGGGGAGCATCAACCTTTTTTACTGAGATATCACTCTGTGTTTGATAGGTCAATAAATATTTGAGCGGGGAACAGTTCTCTGAAGAGATGTTTTATGGTACCAAATAACAACACCATCTCCCAGTCTGGGCCTGTGAGTCTCTAGAAAATGAAATGTTATGGAACTGGGACTTGTAGGGGAAACAGAAGCTTTAGGTAAACATGGCCGTGCCCAACCTTGCTCTCTCTTTTATCACCTCCTCCTGCAAACGCGCATACACACAAACTGTTCACAGGGGGAGAATGTGTGTGTGTGTTTTTTGTGTGTGTGATGCACGTTTTCGACTCAGCGGTCCAGCTATCCCTACGGTCCGACAAGCACTCCCCTTTGAGAAAACCCTGGGTCTCATTCACCCCTCTGCTCACTAGATAAGCATTTCCAGCTGGTTTCACAAACATAACAAATGAGATATAATGGGTGCCACAGATTGTGTCTTTCTCTCATTTTCTCTCCCTTCCTCTTCCCTCTTTTTTCTTCTCACAGTGACTAGCCTTGTCTCATGGGACAGAGTAGCTAGAGAAACTAGGCCACAGACTGGCCCGCTGAGATAGAAGAGCCCAAAAGTACACAGTACAGCTCAGCTCAGCCCTGAGAAGCTCCTGTTACACACATACTGTACATATAGTAGCCTGGCTACTACTCAACATGCCTACCTATAGAGTTGCACTCCAGTTCCACTCTGTGGAAACAATAACTGTGCATTAGAGTCCAAGTAATCCAGTCCAAGTTGTACTAAAATAATATCACTGTATCTTAACACAGGACCATTAATTCACCATCACTGAAGTCTGCCTGAGTGTAATTTGCAACAATAGCCTGCTAAGCACAATTATTTGTTTTCAGAGATGAGAATATTGATACCATTCTTATGTCAGTGTGTTCAGTATAGAGCAAGCCGCAGGAGGTGATTAGCTTAAAACTGGAGGCAGGGGAAACAGCTGGCCTGTCTCTGTTCAAATGACAAAATGTAAAACCGCAACTTTGCTTGATTTGTGCACAACAAAAAAATATAAACACTATGTCGATCAGTTAGCTTTAGAGGTGCTGATAGGAGTATTTTTGAACATCGTACCAAACCAGGATAGCTGTTTGCCCCAGCCTCCATTTTTAATGTGGTTACAGTGGTATCGATCTTCTCATCTCCACATGAAAGTGCTAAAATGTCACACTATTCCTTTAATCATCATGCAAAGATGCGTCACTTTTTTCACATGGCAGGCGCTGAAGCATGAGGTCGGATTGTCGTCTCCGACATCCAGAAGCCATCAGCATACTTGTATTTTCGTTTATAGCTAAGGCCACGCTATTAATGTTGTCGAGACATTTAACATCCTTAGTTGAGTTCAAAGTAACCAAACATGACACCAGATCTTAGGCTAGGTTAGCATTTAAAGGTTCCCCATACCAAGATAGAAACACTCATTCCTCTGAGGCACTTTAAAGCGCTACTTACTGAGATATTTAATAATATTTATTGTTATATTAATTCATTCATGTGCGTGACAGCTTCTTTGTGTGATTGTCTCACTGTGCTATTGTATATGTCATTTGTTCCCTGATCTCTCTTATAAAAAAGATCTTGATCATGAGACTTATTGAATTGCTAAATCTTAACTTTGACATTTACAGCACACTTTCTGTCATCTACAAGGTTAAATAACCTACCAGGCAAGGTGGATATCTTCCACAGGGCCTAACCCAATCAGGGGATCTTGTACCAAACTATATGTTTAGTTTGTTGTCATTTCAATACATTTGTTTGGGAATATGCACCACTACAGCACAATATAAACTAAAGTGCCTTGAGGCACGTTTTGCATCATTAATCTTGCAGCCATGTCAACGTCTAGTATAAAGACTATTATTATTTCAGTTTGTATTGTTCTTATATGGGGCGTAAATACGTTTGTGATTAATAGGATAAACACAAACAAATTGGCACACAGCAAACCTGGAGGCAGGTGGTAACTCCAGTATGGGAGTACTGGTTGGTTTCAAGAGCTCCAGGCACACTATAATTAAGCCGCCATGTGGAGTCTGCTGTGCGTACTGTTCTTGATGGGTACTTGAAGGCAACAGAGTACATATACAACACCCAGAGAATGGGAGGAAGGAGGGTTGGAGTTGCCAATCAGGGGCCCAGAGTTCATTTTTGCCCCGGGGCTCTGACTGTACAGTGATGCTTCAACAGTGTCAGAATTTATGTATCAGTTTCACTGCGGTCACCCCGTGTTAAAAATATATACAGAGTACAGTGTTTTGGATGGTATTATCCACAAAGTCAGGTTCTCAGGTGCAAATTTGTTCTGGATGAGGATATCCATTACATGTCTAATATTCATATCATATTTCCATGTCTTATAAAACAGGTACATTGTGTCTGATAAAGGGGCACAAATGGAAAAGAGTCCTGTGAATTCCTTCTTTCAAACAATAAGTGTGCTAATTGGTGCCGTGACGTACAGAGCGCTAACACAGATTCTCACCTATTAGTGTGGTATTGATGAAGAAAGCCACAAGAGGCAAGAATCAGGAGGGTATGAATAATGCCTGAAGCCTATTGTGAGGTGACTTTACTGGAGAATAAAGCGACCTGCATTCTTACAAAATGACTGTAGACACAAGATGAAAATCCAAAAAGGTATATTTATAAGATTACCAGATCAGGTTTGACACATTTCAAAGCTCCAGGACAGCTACTAGCCTAAATGGACCTTGTGGTACGATTATTTTTGTCAACTGCTGTTTCCAAGTTCAAGGATGAATTTATAATCTCAATTTTCAAAACCAACACGAACAGAAGCCCCCTAAAGAGCTGAGAAGAAAAGAAAATTTTACAATTCCACGACAGTGGGCAACCGCCATCTGCTAACGAAGATCACGTGACCTTATCAAGAGCTCTAGAATAGAGAACAGAACAGCAATTAAATAGACGTTATGGTGAGATTTATACAGACTACTGGTTCCCAGATCATTTTGCTGTTGTTGTTTTTTCTGGAGGGTGTCAAAATCATTTCAGGATTCAGTCATTTCATAGACAGGCTCCTCTTGACTTCATACATAAAAAATAACTAAAAAAAAATGTGCTTTTTGTGCATTTACGGAAATACAAACAGTGTACATTTCTGGAAACTGTCCATTTCAGACATCTTTTGTGTGGACAGGTAGACTCGGCTTGTCTGACAAAATATCAGTGAAGATGATACCATATATTTGGACTACGTTTTGTTGTTATTTGAGTGGGTGATATTTATTGGATCCACTGGTTTTGATTCTTAAATGAAAGTTCGACTATACAGAAGCACTGCGATGAAACTATCTGGCCGGGGGAAGTTTTGCTTCCACCTTACAGCTCAGTGGGGGAAAAAAAGCAAGTTACCTGGCACTGCATGAACTGAATCATTTGGTGAGAATGCATGTAAACTAGCCACATATAATGCACCACAGCTTTGACTCCAAAAAGAGCCAGCAGTATGTCAGAAAGTCAGGATAATAATAACCTGCATTAGGAGGTCAGAGTGCTGATGGTGCCCAGGTTGCTTATTTGACATTATACACTATGACTGCTCAGTGTGGTGATGAACCATGTCTCCTGAAATATTGTGGGGAGTTAGCTTCTAATGGTTTGTGACTGTTAATTATTGATAAGCAGATCCATTGCTGATAAGAGCCTCACACTGAGCGTGGCTTAGCCGTGGTCTTCATGGAGCAGCTAGGCTCCATTTAGTGGACTAAATGCAGCGTTTATGTGTCACGCTGTGACTGTGAACAGGCCAGAGAGACACACCGCTGACACATCTGAATGGGACAAGGTGGGATTAAGGTGACATGGATGAAGATGGGGCAGGCAGGCAACTCACGTAGTGTTTGGACGGATTGCGCCTCTTCTCCACGTCCACGACTTTCACGTCCAGCACAGTCCGAAACTGCATCTTGACCCTGCAAAGGCTATGCATAAAAACTGAGAGGCGGGCAGCTGCTGCGGCTCCAGATAAGCTGTCTTGTATCACGGGAGAGAAATCACAACATTCATCACTGTGTCATTTAACAATTCAGCGGCCCATTAGGAGATCAGCTCGCTCCGCGGTCCGCGTGCCTGCTCGGACTTCCCTCCGTCGACGCAGCGACCATCAATCTGATTAGAAACTTATCGATAGTCCATTTAAGCCCGCGCTGATCGCTCTCGGTGAAATGCACGCTGCCGAATATCCGAGCAGAGAGCGGTGTGCGCGGTGCCTTCGGCCACGCAGACCGGCCAGCGGCGGGCGGAGCGCTGATCAAGTCGGTCACCTTAAAAATAAGGGGAAAGTGCAGCGAGTTCCTTTGTGTCTGCCGCGATGCCTACGAAAGGGGGCATCTGCGTACCTGGGAGGGGGGTTACAGGGGCTGGCCGAAAGCAAGGGAGCCGGCAAATCCAGCGCCAAGCGGCTCCTGCGTTACAGCAGGCGCGGTGATTTTAGGGAACGGAGTGGGATGGGCTTCACGCGCGTCCTCAAGGCTACTTGGAATAAAGCACTCAAGAAAAAAAATAAAAAAATAAAAACATTTGGCTCTGCCTTCATGACAAGAAACGTGCTGTTGCGTGATATAATTATGAGGCAGCCGATGGGCAGTGTAGTCTTCACTCGGTTTATTGACTCATTCATTCGCCTTCTTCCCCCCTGGAGACCCATAACTTTTCCTCCCCGCTTAGGACCACATGAAACAATATGTTAGAATATCTGGCACGACGTGCAGGTCTGGATTTAACAGAAACTGTATTTTATTAACTGAAATGTTCTTAATCCCGTTGTTCGAGCAGAGGGACTGTCCTCAGTTTGTGGACACTGCAGCCTCTGGGCCGCGAGCAGCTTTCTGGCCGGAGACACGAGCGACTGGAACTATGGATACAGATGTTTCACAGGCGGCCAATCAGCAGCAGCCTGCTCTACATGAAAGAACCAATTAACAACTAAACACTGCCCCCCTGTGCACACAGAAACGCACACGATAGTAAAGCCCACTTTTCTTTTCTTTTTTCAGTTCATAAGTTGAAGTTGAAGTTGCATTAAAATGCTTTCAGAGCATTACTCAGAAAAAAAAGCAGTATCATCTTTTAAATAACTTATGAAAACCTCATTTTATTTTAATGACTTTAACATATCCATGAGCCCGAGACCCGGAATTCCAACCGGGCAACTGCCCCAGGGCTTCAGGGGCCGGACGGCCTACTGTGTGTCGACTGCTCTGTGGTAATGTAACTGAAAATGCATATGGGAATATGCAAGGCTGGATTACTAGCTAGCCAATGTGGGCAACTGCCCCAGGCCCCCAGATCATTAGGGGCCCCAAAGGCCCTTGCTTCACTGCGAGGCAATTCATTTGTGGTTATTTAATGACACATGAGGTTTAGTTTCCTCATCGTAAAGAGTGCTACTCAACCTGTGGAAACGTGTACGTCTACATGTAGCTCTGCAGGGAGCCTTCTACAGTCGTGATGATGTCAAAGTCGGGATCTCAGCCTCAACCGGGGATGCATGTTGTCGCATAGTTTGCATGAAGATATAATATACTAGATATAAGATACTATACTAGTATTTTAATATAACACTATATTTCTTACATGTTTATCTTCTTGGTTTAGTGAGCCGGGTGGAGCTTCAGTTTGTTAAGGAAGAAATAGAAAAAGTTTGGGGGTAGTTAAGACATGTATACTGCTGCTTCTAGCCAATTTTTCTGTTGACTTGTCTCAAGAAACACGTAATATAAATATTTCAGAACAGTTGTACACATTTGACATCAGAGTCAAAGGAATGGGGTTTAATGGGGACCCAGGAGCTCATCTTTGCCCCAGAGCCCCCAGGCAGATTAATCCAGGTTATTTATTGTTTATTTATATCAAAATGTGCCAAACTATCACAAATATTTACAACAGTGGATTGCACAGTGGTCTTGAAATGTCCCTGATGTCCATTTTCTTAGGCATGGCTTTCAAATTTATCTTAAAATGAATATTTAACCTTAACACGGTAACACACTAGTAATTTAAAATACAACAACAAATATGCAGTTCAACTAATGTTGGCAGGCGCCTTACTTGACGTTAGTCATGATGATCAAAGGAATACAAATGGCATGATTTACTTAAATGTCTTGGACGATCACATTTAGGAGCAATAAGCCATACTACACGCAGTTTATTCTGTAATATACGGGGTGCTCAAGTTAGAACACAGTGTAATGGCTGTCGCTGGTGCTGACGATGTCACTGTTGCACTCCAGCGACGTGAGGACCAGCTCCAGCGCTGCCCTGCTCACGTTGAGGCTGTGGCGTTGCCTGACTGCAGACAGAATGTGCAGGATGTGGCAACCCTTCTCTGCATCTACAGGCGCAGGAGGAAACAACTGTCAGCACACCGGTACGAGGCCATGTGAAGCAAGGTTAAATGAAGACTTACTTAAATAACTCTTGAAAAGAGGATTTCTGAAGTTTCATTTTCCAATATTCTCGTTAGTAATTTTGAATTATTTTCTTTCATGCATCTGCATCTACAGTCAACATGAAGCTCCTCGCTGTAGATGCGATTAGTAGTTTGATCTTTGACAAGCATATACAAAAGTTTTCATTCTTAATTGCTTCTACTGAAAGACAATTGCTGCTAAACTCAACACACTGCCACACAGGAGACTGTGAATGAGTCAGACTACAACTACAGCAAATCAACACTGAGAAGAGTTTGACACTTAATTAAGAGCAAATATAAAGTCTACTTACACTTCTCTCTCTTTGAGTCCTCCCTGATGATGTCTTTGACGGCTATGAGTAGATCTGTGTCTTGTGCCGTCACCTGGTGAGGGACAACGGCATCAAACAGACACATAATGAATCCCTGCGATACTGAAGCGGGAGGAATTCATTTAAGATGTATCTGCTGTTTCTTACATGATAGACTTCATCTTGGGATTTGACCTTGCGGTACACAATACCCTCGTCCAGTAAAATTTGCAGGGCCTCCTTCAGAAGCTGGCGTAGCTGCTGGCAAGCAGACGGACCTGCCACAGGCTGCAACAGAGACGCATGATGATACAGCGCTTACAGTGGATAAGCATGTTGGCACGAGAGAAAGACACCTGTTACTGTATTTGCTGCCTTTTGTTTCAGTTTTCTTAATCATTTTCTGTTATCAAACTCCACTGCTCTGTGGAAACCTCTCAGTGTGAAGACATCGTCGGGTTTTGTGGGAAAAAGGAAAACCAAGAAGTGCCAAGAAGTTCTTTTGTCAGCAGCTTTAATAGTTGAATAATTCTAAACAATACAAATTAGCTTCTCTGCTAGGGCTGTATTTCTTCATTTCATTCATCACTCTCACCTAAGAAGGAGACTTCAAATAAAGTCTGTAGTTTGATTTTTTTCCTTTCATCCCACCACCACACATCTTCAAAAAGAAATTGTTCCCTTATAATTATTCTGGCATACCTGGTCTGCAGATGCTGTTTGAGGCTTGCTGGAGATCAGAGGCTGCAAGAGGTCCTGAACATCATAGGGTCTGAACCTGGTCACAGACTTCTGGTTAAGGAAATCCTTGATGACGTTTGTTGCCTTGCTGAGGGAACTGATGGATGAGTCACTGGAAAAAAGATCTCGCCTTAATACAATTTGTACTAATGCTTAAATATACTTTATGTCTAGTAGGGCTGAACGATTAATTGCATTTGCGATATTACCGCGATGTAATAAAACGAGATTTTCTAATCACAAAGGCTGCGATTACACTCTGGTCACATGACACCCAAGAGTAAAGCAGTCTGCAGACGAAGTTGATGCTTCGTCTGCACGTTACGCTGTACCTCGCCTTCTTGTTGCATAATGGCCTTAAGTTTGAAAGAACATAACCTTTAGTGTCACACAGGGAATGAAAGCATCACCCGCCACCCACCACCACCCGCGGGTAACGTGGTGGTGGTGGGTGAAATCGTCGGGCCATCCACGGCTTTGACGGACAGGAAAAATGCACAACAGAAAGACACGTGTAGTAAGGTAAGCATATTGTGGCGATCAGCGCCTGCGTCACACACACAGCACGAAAACCCGAGATGCGAAACTTGATTTTATTTTCGTTGGCCAACTTTTGAATTGAACCTCAAACTGAGTATTTTTTGTTTGCTTACTGGGATACAGAAAGATGGACTCCTGGGAGATTTGAACTGAGATAAGGACGCATTAATTGATGAACTGTGAGTTTTGTATTGAGCGCTTACTGTATAACACACTGTGGTGAGTTAGTTTTTCTTGTGGTTGGTAGGTAGGCCGACCTGATGATTTTATATCATTTCATCATTATTATAATTTGATATATCTTTTCCACTATTGCTCATAATAATAATTCTACCTAATTCATCCTAACACAGGCCTGACCCACAAGAAGAACAGGGTATGTTCTTCTAAAATTGTGTTGGTCATGCTATACACTGATTTACTGCTTGTCCATTTTGAATAATACAGGAGGTAAAGTGCTTAAAAATTAACTGCATATTAAATCGCAATATTGGTTAAAAAAAAATAAAAAATAAATCACAATTACATTATTTTCCAAAATCGTTCAGCCCTAATGTCAAGAAATACTGTAATTAATTTAGGGCTGGACAATAAAACAACAACAACAATAATTATGGCAACATAATTTTTTTCAATAACAATATAAAAATGTTCCATAAATATTCAATAAATCTTTGATTATCTTGAATCAAACACAAATTAGGACTTTTTTATTAAGATGTTTATTTTATTTAGGAAAAAGTACTGAAAAAAATGTTTTTCGTGCATATTGTTGACAATATTTTATCATAGTAGTTTTGAATGTTCCACCTCAGATTTGTTAAGTGATTCACTGTTTGGCATCAAGTGTGAGTTTAAACCACAATTAACCATCAGGTTTCTTCAACTTTCACTCAGCAGCAAAAGTCAGCCTTTAAACTCGAAAGAAAAATTGACTTGATACTTATTGTGATAATTTATATATATATATATATATATATATATATATATATATATATATATATATATATGAAACTTTTTAACGTGATAACATTTTTGGCCATATCGTCCAGCTAAATTAATTAGCAGTAAGTCAGGCTCAACTGTGACAGTATATAAAAATTAAAACCTGCTTTCATTGTTGTTCCATGTTAAGTTAATCAAAATTAATCCTTTTTAATAGCTCCCACCTGCTGTGCATGTTTTACTGCATCTCGTAATACAAACAAACACGGTGAAACTTTAAAGGGCAACTATTGTTTTATATGTAAACCCACAAAAACTATTACCGTCTTGACACACATCATTGCAAGCCTGATAATCAGACATAATGAACTGCCCCTTTTTTGACTTCATTCATTCAACTTGAAAATTGTGTATTCACGTTAGCCGACTGAAGGGCGAGTATTTCGTTGTGTATTGCCCGAACGAGTCAGTAGCCTTGATAGCGGGTGCCAGGTGCAGCCATCTTAACATTCA